CAGCAGGAAGTCAGCTTCCTCAAAGATGATTGGACATGATGTCATGCGCAGTGCTGCGTCATCAGCCAATCAGCAGCAGGCGGAGAACGCAGAGGTTCTGCTGCCGATGACGAGGACGCACTTCATTGATGCCAAAGTAAGAGTCTGTTTATTATTATATTATTTAGCAACGTGCAATGCAATGACGTGCAAAGATTAGGCATAAATTACTATTTAAATATTTTAAAAATATATTATTTTATTTTATTATTTTTTTACAAAATGAGGTTTAAAATACATGCTATTTGTTTTCAGGGAGGAACAAATTTAATGATAAACCACGCTGGACCAATAATGAGTGACGCTCAGAGCAAACGGAAAAAATGGAGCATGCTTAATAATAATCAGAAGTCTAATGGAAATAAAAGCAAGGTGAGTAACAGAGATAAATGCTTTTAGCAATTGTTTTAATTCTGTGTATCTTTATCAAAGTCAAATTTGCGTTACGAGTCAACATGAAACGCTTAGCTATTTTATTTTTTCAGTTTTCATTTGAATTTGTTTAATTTGTTGTGTGCTTTTTTCCATTTTATTTTATTTTTTATTGTTTTAAATATTACTATTTAGGTTTAATTTATTTTATTTCAGTTTTAGTTCCATTTGAGGTTTTATTTATTTACTATATAAATAAAAATAAAATAATATGTATATATTTATAAGTTATAAATAATATTTATAATTTAATTTATTTCACCTCTATTGTAACAAAAATGTTGTGTTATTTAAGTATAATTGAGATACTATTATAGTTTTAACTTATAGTCCTCATTTTAAAGATTTTAGTTTAAAGATTTAGCAATTTTGTTGGGAGTTTTTTTCCCTATATATAATTTTATTAGTTTTATTTCCAGTTTTAACTTTTATTTTATTTAACATTTTAGTAATTTTGTTGTGTGTTCGTCATATTGATTCATTTTTGTTTTTTCTTTAACATGTCTATAAGTTTTTATTCATTTTTATTACCAGTTTTCATTTTAATTTTAGTTAAAGTTTGAGTATTTTCATCATATTTATTGGTTTCTGTTTCATTTAAATGTATATGTGATTTTTATTAATTGTAATTTTTAGTTATTTTAGTACTAACTAAAGTTAAACTAAATAAAAATGAGCTAAAATTAAATAAGTTTAAGTTTTTTTTGTGTTTGATTTTATTTCAGTGAACGTTTATTTTATACGTTCTAAAGTTTTTTTTTTTCATTTTAGTAAACTAGAACTATTATAAAAATATTATTTGTTTGCATAATATATGTGTGTGTACTTATGTATATATAAATACAAACACATGCATGTATATATTTAAGAAAAACATGTTAAGTTTATACATTTAAAATATTAATATATAATATCAATTATATGAATATAAATAGAAATATTTTCAAAATATATACTGTATGTGTGTGTATTTATATATACATAATAAATACACACAGTACACACACATATTATGTAAACAAAAACTTTTATTTTGGATGTGATTAATCGCGATTAA